AGCATTAAGGTTAAGTGCCGGTGTATATGCATACACGGATATATTAAATACTTTCGTGTATGGTACACTGTTCTACGGAGTAATTACGTATTTGATAAAACAAAAGTATGTTTGGTAACGATGTGTAGATCAATGTCTCATCATCAGAGGTTCATTAGCATGTATTAAACAATTGATCAACTTCACGACAAATGAACACTTTCTTTTTACATAAACTATTTAAATTCATATGTATTAAGGTACGGAATTTCAGCAATGGGCAATAAACAATAAAGAATGCAAAGGCATTAATGAGAACATAAAAGTACAAATTGTAACATTAAATGACCATTTTCATCAACCAAGAAATGAATGAGAAAGTTAACCATGCTTGGGAACACCAAGTATTGTTTGCTCGATAATGACACGGACCATTAACGTTTCGTCCAAGCATATTTAAAAGGAAAAGCTGTCGACAGTTCGTTTGAACATGTGAAAATGTTTCATGAGAGCACATCATTATCCATATATTGTTTGTGATTAAGTACGTAAATGATACTAAGACCAAATGCAAATATGAAGTGATTAAATCCAATCCCACGACGGATGACATTAATGAGAGTTTTACAAACACGATAAATAACGTGATGTAGAAAATCATTTCTACTATATATTTTCACTATCGAGTCGTTGTTTTACAAATGATGAATGAGGTGGTGGAGGAATTATCTTACATTGTAGTGATACACTGTAGGTTTGTTTAATGATATGGTGCACAGCTTAATGTTTATTGTATAATGCTTCAATAATTTGGCAAACTTTAATCTTAATAAATTCATTGTTGGTAAGACTAACCACTAAAACTGAAGAATACACCAAGGTATTATATTGCGGTTGTATGTCCTTAATTAAGGTGGACAAAGTCAAAGGGCACCGACCTTTCAATTGTCCCATTCCAACGTTCACTTTTTTAATCAATAAAAAAATGACAAATAATGATCAACAACCAGTTGTATCGATTTAGCTTCGTTTCATGATATTTAAACAAAAATGTACCATATGGTTTTTCTTAATTAATACTGGAATGTTTATGATATACTATCAAATATATATACCATGACGTCATATGTAGGCACTGTGCGATCATTTAACTAACTTCTACACAGTAGTCCTACTGTTTACCTTTGTACATTTTGTATTGCTTCCAAATATGGATAATGCAACCGGTATACAATATTCTATTTGGATTTCTTAAAAAAATGTTGAATAATTCAATTTATATATATAAATATAGATATAGCACCATAAAGGAGTTTTCCATTTAAATATAGATATAGCACCATAAAAGAGTTTTCCCTGCGTGACCTTATAATTATGTGGTAAAACAACGAAAATGTATTGGCAAAGACACACACATTGTATTCTGCTTCATATTTTCACAGCAAATTATACCTGTTTATAATCTGTCTTACATATAATATGCTTCGCATTTTTGTTGATACCTTTTGATATTAATGGCTTGGTTGATGGTAATCGATGGCTTATTGTACAATTGGTGGCTCAATCGAACTGCCGAACAATCAATACAAAACAGTCTCAAATTCAAAGACAACCAGACACTATACTGTAGATCTGCTAGTTCTGTATAGTACTACAGAGAGGGATCGCCAGTTGTGGTTATATTATGGCAATGCAATACAAAACAGCATTGCTTCATATACAAACATGTTGTTGGGGTATACAGTAAAACTTAGATATTATATATATCCTATATAATTACATGACTCTTCTATTTCATATTTTTATGTAGTTTGCAATTGACCAGCTGTCGCATTTCTTATTATTTAATGCATCTGATCCAACAATGTATTTTTTTTTTCTTTTTAGCCGGGGTTTACTTTATAATAATAATAAAAATGAAAGACTTCATTTCAGGTCGATAACACTTTGAGTCAAAGACTCTTCGAACAAGTGGTCGAAAGTAAAATTTACAATATTTACAACATGATATTATTAAAATTACATCATCATAGACAAGGTGTATCCCATAGAGCTTATGGAATTGTCTATTACATTAAAGTAGTGCACTCATAAAGCTCATGATGCGTACATAGAAATAAAAACACCTATCATACACATAAAGAACGAATGAAAGAGAGGTTAGCAAAACACTGAAATATAGTTTCTTTAGGTAAAAAATACCCAGGATTTTGACCGTAACTTTCAGATCTTGGTATATTACTTTGAAACATTATCGATGGTCAATCTAATTAAAAAGTGATAACGAAATAGTCAAAGCGCGTATTATTTAAACATTTATCACTACCTTACATGACATAACAGACCTTGACGTTCGAACGTAATGCGGAGAGAATGGGTTACATTCGTACAGCGTAAGATTAGAACGGAAAGGAGAATGTTATTGTCGCTCCTGTATTGGCAGATTTGCTCGAGGTCGCACTAGCCCAGTAGACAGACCAGCTATGTTAGCATTCATACACAAACTAGTAGCCTTGTCGCTATTGATATATCGCTACACTAAGACCATGGCATATCGTTGAACAACGCTTCTAATCACAGATATATTGCTGGGTTTTCGTTTTATCAGGCGTGACATATTACTGTAATACTGTAACCTTTTACGATTTTTGCAATAAAATACAGTGCGCGAAATGAATAGCAAACGAAAACACCGTTTACGTGGCATATTATGACTCAACCACAAAAAAATATATCCTGCGATATTGACTACTGTAGCTTTATCAAAAAAATTAAGGAACCGTGAAAAAATACCCAAACTGAACTATCATAACCTAAGCCAGATTGATTTGTTTATTTTTTACCTCGATAAACGTCCATCGAAGCCCGGCCTTTTCGCCAGCTTATAAACACATTCGTGAAAGTGTGATGACATGAATAGCTTTATTCAAATGTCAAAATTGATTCAATTTATGCTATAAATTATGCATTGATTTGTTTAAACTGATTCAAATATCCTTTAACGGTCGTTGTTTGTTCTGTGAGCCGAAGGCTGTCAAATGGTGGTAACCACTGATCCAAATTGACGTTTGTTGTTCTAATTCAGCCAACTGACTCCAAATGTTTCTTTGAAAATTTAGCCTTCACGACGAAAACAAAAAATATTGAATATTCCCATTGCACATTCAATCATAAATAATCTATTTGTTTTTTCTGTCAAAACACTTGCAATTCTGCACATTTAGTTCCCAGTTATAAATGTGGGCATTATCATTTTTTTATAATATTTGGAATCGTTTAGATCAGCAGAAAGAATGTATTTTATGTCAACAACCTAAAACAAGGTCCCTCAGTTGTCAGCGGGTTTATCTTATGAGGTTTCTGAGAATCAGACTAAGCCAAAAAAAATTGAGTTTGGAAATACAAAATCGGTTTATCTTTCCCTAAAGGTTCCAATTATCGTTCAGGTCTTATTTCTAGGGCGACCAAAACCGAAATGGAGGGGGCATACACTCTGATCTAATAAACACTACTTATGACTGTTCCCTTTCGTATATATTCCGGACATTTGTGATTGGCATCAGTCTGATGGTCAAATCGAATGCCTGTCATGAACGTAGACCAACCCATATCCGATAAATGTCAGGCTAAATAACTAAGTCGATAAGGTTGTAAAAAGCAACATGGAACATCAATTGTATGTCTCTGAAAGAGGTTTGTGGACGGTGTTCTGTCTGGTGTTTATGTCACTTTCAGACAAAAGGGTACAGCTCTGATTTTAAAAATGGCAATGCCTTGAAACAAGTATAATCACAAAGGCATTACCATATACATAACGTCTTACTGGTAACTTGTTTCTGTTCCTTAAAGGGATACTGGATCGTAAACAAAATTTGAAATTCAACATTCTTGCTGTGTATATGCTTTAAGCATTATATTTTGTTTGTTATGATCGGGGCCGCAGTGGCCAAGTGGTTAAGGCGTCTGACATTCTGCTACCACTAGCCCTCCACCACTAGGTCGTGGGTTCGAAGCCTCCGTGTGGCAGTCACCATGTTTGTACTGATCGTAGGTCGGTGGGTTCTTTTCCGGAAACTCAGGCTTTCCTTCACCAACAAAAGCAGGCACCTCCTTCAATGACCATAGCTGTTAATAGGACGTAAAACAAACAAAACAAAAAAGAATTATGATGTTAAGTTAATAGATCTTGTATGATAAGAATTTTATTTGTTCTGTATGTTGCTAGATCATAGTGAACAACCGATTATGCAGTTTATTTGTTAGAAAATATTAATGTTGCGCAGATTTTTTGCATACGTACTTTATACCGATCTTCAAAGTGAAAACTGGATTCTGAAAATGTCGATAAAGGAAAGTATCCTGCCTTTTACAGTCATATTGCAAAAACGGGGTTTATAATTATAACTGTAAGGCTTGCAGCTGGTAGTTCTGCGTCGTTAGATCGATAGCGTTGTATTTTGTGTTGGGGACTTGACGACAATAATTGTGATTTATATTGTTTATTTGTCAATTAATACCTGTCTGCGGTTCTGTACCATTTGACTACAAGCAAAATGTCAGACTCGTCTATCAATTTGCAATAAGTGAAATGTTATTTCATCCTTGCATAGAAGTGGACATAGAACCTTTTTTGCACTTTGTGTTAGTGACTGAGTGTTTTTACACTTGGTTTGATACTTGTAACAAACACATATACAACATGTTTTCTCTTAAAAAGAATCTTCGAAATTATGGAGCAATTGTAAAATGCCTGCTTGTCATGCAGAAAAATAAATTAATAAATAAATTGATGATAAGTTTCTAGGATAAAAAGCGTTTAAATGATGATTTAGAGACAAACAGCCTCTTTTGTTTTGAATGTTTTCAGAACATTACACAATATTTTTGCACGGGAAGGAAGGTTTTGTCAGGAACTATATATATTTAAACCTTTATTTTGTAACTGATTTCCTGGTATAGTACAAACTTACATCTCTTAATGGGGAACATTAAATTTATTGGCTTTCGTTTTACTGTTACAGGTGTATCTGTAGGAGTGAGCTGTTTCACACTTGTTACCATCTCGTCTGAGCGTTACTTCGCCATATGTCAGCCGCTACGGTCCCGACGATGGCAGACCGTGTCCCATTCTTACAAGATCATCGTGGCCATCTGGATCGGCGCCCTTACCATCATGATTCCCATCGCCTTGGGCACAAAGCTACTGAGACTGAGGTCAGGGGCCTACGCCTGTCGCGACCTCTGGGACAATACGGCCCTCGAGATTGTCTACACCGTCGGTCTCGTCATCCTCCTCCTCGTTATCCCACTCATCATTATGAGCATCGCATACGGTCTCATTATACTCAGACTGTGGGTGGACATACGGAGCCAGTCACAGGCTGCGAGTGGTGAGTACTCCCGAGGCAAACAGTTGACCCTGTCATTGTAAATTGTGTCTAATATACTTACGCTTTTAATTATGATGTGCATATCTTTCAATGACCTCACCGATGCATAACTTGATATTTTTAATGTTACAATAAAATAGACGACGATCTATCTTCTTCGGTATTTGTTTTATGAACTTTTCCGTCTGTGCGTATTGCAGAGTTATCTTCTCTTGTGAGCAGGTATTGATTGTTACGTCATTGGTTTGTGTGAGAAAATTACGTCGTTTTCTCAAAAATTGATGACGTTACTCTCACAAACAAATGACGTAACAATCAATACCTGCTCATAAGTGCAGATAACTCTGCAATACGCAAAGACGGAATACATTGCTGAATGCAAGCTTAAAAAGGGATTGAATGAAAAAAAATGCTTTCCTAGTAGATGCGCTTAAATTAGAAAAATCAAATCTTCCCATAAAGCACACATTAAAATATAATTGTATTAAACCTATCAGGTTACATTCGGATTGCACTGGTTTAAAAAAAGCGTATTGGATAATTGACTCTGTGTAATAAACACACTGGCGTTGATGCAACCTGTATATTAAATTTCAATATCGATCTTTTGGCGTAATTTTACTCATTAAGACTGATCGTTTAAGTAAGAAGTAATTAACAAATTGCTTATTTTCTCTCTAAACGTGTCACTCTTCGCCCCTTCCATCATCATCAAATGTTTAAATTAGATTAAATTACAAGTTTTTGAAATAAAGTTTGATTTTTCTCATTTTCGACGAAAAACACAATGAAATTAAATATGATTGCTACTAATCAACGTGAAAAGCACTAAAACATAATTAGATTATAATTGTTAACCTTGGAAACTGCATTAAAACTCTAATTACAAGTTCGTATGTTGCGTTATAAGAAACTAGTTAAAAGATTATCATGTTTTGGTATTTACCGATGATTTCCCTTTAAGGCAAACTCGCTGTTATGTTTATTAGTGAATTAAGGAGTAAGTTGGATTTGTGAGGAGATGAATTGCGACGTATTGTCAAATACATCGAGAAGAGTAATGTTAATTCTACCATTTCAGCGATGTTCGACATTTTCAATTGGTTGATAATGTATTATTGGACAAATAGACATAAGTGGCCATTTTTATTTGCCAAATAGATCAGGCAAGTGAAAAATAAATGTCCAAAAACCACATGGAATTGCTAGTTTTAATAAATGAGTCATAATTGACTAGTCTTGTACGTGTTTGCTTCCTCAACTGAGGGTACACGCTTGCATGTACATGCATGCTCAAACATAAAAAAAACATACATTCACATAAAGCTGGCAGAAGAAGGCCGCTGAGTGTTACGTTAGGAAAACAGTGCGTAACATGTTGATGAACTGTTTGCACGCACGAAACAACAACTCAGCTCGATAGAAGTAAAGTGCATGAAAAACAACAAACTTCACGGTTTATTTTTCCAACATTTCCCCATCCTCGTTGAACAACGAACCAAAATACAACCTCATAATATGTGTGAATCAGAAAAAAAAATGGGTTTTTAGATCTTAGTTGATTACAAATTAGAAATGTAGGTTCGTTATCAAAGTCATAAAGTTTAATGTTCCTCATTTAGAGATGTAAATTTGTAATCTAAGGAGGTCTTGTATGTTGTAACGGATTTATTTGTTTTACAGAATTATCAACTCCTCAACGATTCGTTGGGTTCAGCAGAGCATCCAGTAATAGCGAATCGGAACTGCGCTCTCTGAAGAGTATGGGTAACGGTTCTGATTACACTACTGGTGGCCATGTTAGCTTGAGACAGATAAACCCTCACACCAACGTGTCAAACCGGAAACGCGTCATCAGGATGTTGGTGGTGATTGTGATGGAGTACTTTATGTGTTGGACGCCATTGTATATAATAAACACATGGGTTATTGTGGATTACCCTACCATACATACGCGCGTGTCAGCACTAGGATGGTCAATGATTCAATTGTTGGCTTATACTTCCTGCTTTATTCATCCTATTACCTATTGCTTTATGAACAAAAATTTCAGAAAGGGGTTTCTGTCTGTGTTTCAGTGCGATAAGAATCAGCGACGTAGGACGCTGATCACTCGGAATGGAACAGAGGTCAGTTCTATGCCCTCGCTCTCTACCCAATCTCCTATCATAAAGGAAAAACTTAAGATGGAGGTCCTGTACAGCAAAGTGTCGCCAGATGATTGATATAACCGCTGTATGCCTTCCCTGTCACAACTAAGGATGTACATATATGAACAAAAAGAATAAGCTACCTTGATTTAACGATATGTATCTGGTTTCGTTGAAGGTGGTACAGTATAGCTTATATGACGCTCGGCATTTAGTTCATGATTTTGTGGCTAGATTTCAAAATATCTATTTATACATTGTATAACTGTATATCGAAAGAGTAAGAATGTTTCGTTTAAAAAAATGCTGATATTGGGATAGATGACATTTTAACTATTTTTTCGAAGATTTTGTCAATAGCTTTAAATGCACTGGTAGAAATGGATTAATATTAGTATCGTGTATGAGATATGGTCGGTAGACAATCAATCTTGGCGTACTATGCGGTAAATTGCTATTATTATAACGCAATGAACTCATAGCATATGACTTGTCGTCCTTGTATCGCTCCTGACGAAACATCCATGATCCATTATTCAGAGGCATTATGATTGCATTTGATGGCTTAGTCCACTGTTTAAGTTTACTTTATTGTGCAATGACAATATCATATTTTCAACTCGGTAAAAACACAACATAATTATTTTGTAGCTATTTTTTTCTCGCGATACTAGTCCGCTATCGGGACTCGTGTCAGCATTTATTCGTATATGGAGTTTATTACTAGCTTTGGGCTACATTCCCAAACAACCCGACTCCAAGGACGACCATAGCCGTGTCGACGAGTGCCGGTAAAGGCCTGATACCCACTGTGGAAGAGGCCCCTATCGGGAGGGCTTGGTAATGCGAATAACACGTAAGCGACCGTCCCATAGCATATTCGTGTTTGTCAAATCAGCGTGTTTTATCATATCCCGGACCAATCAATATTTAGCTAAAGTTTTTTTTTTTAATTGATGTAGGGAAAACAGCTGTCTGAGTAATGAGTCATTTGGTAAACGCCCACTACTGTCTGACAAATGATATCATGTTAAAATTGCACTACTGTTCGATGTACAAACGAGAAATGAATCAAAGATGATAATACATTCTATATAAAGAGTATGTATTTTTTATTTCATTCATGTTCTCTAAGACCTTAACTATATGATAGTTGAATACTACGTTTTGCAATTATACTTGACTGAAGAGCTGAGGAATGTTAACAAAGACACAAGAATATAAACAATGAAACCATTTTATTGAGAAAAAGCACTTAGTATAATTCAAGAGTGAGTATATTAAGGAAAGTCGTAGGATAGGGCAATTCATATAACTTAAGGTATTGATGACGAGGTATAAGCAACCCGTTAATAAAGTATACAGTTATATTTTACATTTTAAGATAAACTATACACATACGGAATGTTGTTGACCAATTTTATCAAAAACAGGAGACAGCGCAACGATCGAATTCATATATTACAAATTTTTAATTATTAAAAATAAGGAAGACAGCCCTGGTTTTTTGTGAGTAAACAATCAGCTGTGGTCATAGCTTTATAAAATCTTCATTAAATATCTCTCTTGTTAATAGATGTTCTTATAGTCTGTGCGTGTTGTATTAAACTTTTATTATGTTTTATTCTGTGTATTTATGATGTTAAAAGGGCGGCGCAAGCGTAATGGTGACGTCAATGGCGTCAGAGAGGGCGAAATATTAAACATCTGCCATGCATACATGACGTGTTGCGTGTTTGTTATCCTCAAACAATGTTCGTCAGAAGAGAAATAAAAATTATATGCAAACCATTCTGTCTGACGTGTCTTTAAGTACAAGACTTATCAAAACGCTTCTATTTGCAAACTGTTTCTTAAGCTAATTACAGGCCAAAATCTATTATTGTTTCTATTCAAATAGAAAGAGCTAGAAGTGGATTTTTTGTTTAATAGTTATATTTATTTTAGTATTTGGCACCTGGATAATGTTTGCGAATACCAATTATGAACAGTTGTGTTTCTTAGTTACATTCACAACCATGCTTGATAATTAAAGAGACCTGCAATACAAACTTGATATTGACATAGACCTACATACAATGAAACAAGCTTGATAATGACATAGACCTACATACAATGAAACAAGCTTGATAATGACATAGACTTACATACAATGAAACAAGCTTGATAATGACGGCGATCTACATCCAATATAACAAGCTTGATAACGACAGGGACCTACAAACAATGTAACAAGCTTGATAATGACAGAAACCTACATACAATATAACAAGCTTGATAATGACAGAGACCCAACGAAAATGCTTAAGAATAACAAAAGCTTACAGTTCAACAAATATCATATTAAATAATTAGCGTCCATGGTAGAAAATAATTGTGCTTTCATGGGTTAATTCCACAATGCGTGCTTGATTTTGTCGGGTGATCTGAAACCAGTGTGGCAATACTGATAATGGTAGCTCATACAAAATTGGAGGCAGGTAACATTCCAACGTTTGATTATGGTATCCAGCTCAAATATCTTTCTTCTTAATGGATGGATTTTCCGATCTACACAAGACTTTGAATTACCTCGCAAATAACCTTTACCTTTATCCAAAATGAGCATCAGCCGTGATGGACGGATCTAATATTTCGTGTTTCTAAATGCGCTGGGATCTAAAGGTGTTTCCCTGCTCCAAGTCCGATAAGTCCCTATCGACATCCTCTCCCTCACGTGACGCGGTACCTGGGGCGGCGTCGTGCTGAGGCTGCCTGTAGATATACTGTCTATCTCTGTAACACATCCATCAACTGGTCTTATACCACTTCTCCAGAACAAATATATTCTGTAAAACCATTATCGTAACATCTACACAAAGTATTTTTTTCATAGGGAAACTAGAATCACCATAAAGGTCATAGACGCTCCAAACTCTCTTTAATCTCAAGTCAAAGACAATACATGCTAAGCATAAAGTTGCATTACCTATAATATCTGGGGATAAATAAACCAATTAAATCGATGACCTTTAGCAGTTTATGTATATACATTGATGTAGAAAAACACAAGGTGTGATATAAGAATTTAGAACTAAATATTTTGTTTGCCATCGAGCGCCTTAACAAGACATTGATGTCAAACAAATGTACTTAAATGTCCTTTTGATATTACTTCGTGGAGGAGAAGAATATTCTATCAACTGTTAAATTGTATGTCGTGGAATTAAAGACCACAGTGAGGAAACAATAAAACGTTTTCCTTTTCCGTAATTGTCAATTAAACGTTTAAAATAAAAATCAATTAAAAAAAAAAAAAAAAACCGTTTCTTGCTGTTATTCTGGTTATTGTTAAATTAAACATATATGATGTAAAAGATATTTACCACAACGTCAGCACATAATGACAGACTGGGAAATGAAAGTTGACACAAAAAGGCGCACATACAATCGAAGGGACACAACGTCCAAAGAGGAGATATCTTGACTCGGACCGTTAAGTGTGATTATGGTACACCTTTCGACAATATGGCGACATCTTTTGTGTCCAAAAATAGTTGCCGACGATATCTGACAGAGTGGCATTATTCATGGAAGAGATTGGTATTTTATAGTTTGAAATAAGGTAAAGATGGAGGCCGTTATATCTTTTGTTTTGCTTGCATGGCTTGCAGTGAATTATTTCCGGTAGAATAAAACCAGTTCATAACTTATTGGCTTGAAGGACGCATTTATTTGGTAAATTCTGATACACAAGCATGTACTTCCATAAACATCAGAGGCTGGTATGCTACTGCCAAGAAAAGAGAACAGTCGTTCATGGGTGTTTGGTGAAGAGTTATCATAGGTGCAATGATGTAAGTAAATACCAAGTAAACATATTGTTATACGGTAAATCATATTATTTCTGTTTGCATGTTAAACATAATTTAAAGAAAACGTAAACGAAATTAGTGTTCAACAACATGACAGACGATCGTCATTATCAGACATTTTCAACAGTTATATTGTTCCTGTAAAAGGTAGGTGTGCCCCAATAACAGCACAGCTTCTGCCGCCAGTTTGTGGTCAAAACAAAAGTTATATATAAATGTATCAAATTTTTAATCAGAGTTAAAATAAAACAGTTAAATAGTTAAAAGGTGGGTTTTTTGTATAGTAACAGCAACCTTGAACTTACTGGTATAACATGACATCAACATTGACCTCAGATCGAGGACTCAAAAAAAAGGAACACATTCGTGGAAATTGCATTCCATTTAGTTGCATATACATTTGTACATATAGATTCATAGTTATTTAATACAAACTAAAACCGGAAGGAAGATGACACTGGGAAACACAAATATAATGAATTGTTTGAAGTTGATATATATATAAATCCTTTTACAGTGACTAGAAATTAAAAATTATAATGGCTGCAATACAGAATAAAGCATCACATTTTAACAACAAAATCTTATCTATTTAAAGCAGCTTTTACTGATAGCGCTCTTTGTTTTCAATGTAAGACTGAAATAAAGACAATAATTTACACACTATTGGAATGTGAGAAAGTACAAGACTTTCAACAAAATTTTGTTTTCCTTCTTGATACATTGTTAATCCCATTTGGTTTTACCAAGGAAACCTTCATTTTCGGATTATTTAATTAAAATAGCATCAGTAATAGGTAACATAATATAATAATTATAATTATAAAACAATATCTTTAAAAATCAAGATGTTTACAAATGTCATTGTCAGTAGCTGCACTTAAGAACCTTATCAAGGACATTATACTTGCAGTTGGTAAAGGTGGCTTACTTTTATTGAAATTTAATACTGAATGATTTTACTTCAATTTGAAAAACATATTCTGCAGTTTATTATTGTTGAATGTATAATGAATTGATGGTAATGTGTGAGATAAAAGATGTTGATGAAATTTGATATATTTGCATTGTTATAAACTTGGGAAGAAGAAAAAAAGGAAGATGACGCCTGGCGTTTGACGTAATGCAAGCGTTGTTATTACAAATCACTATTTTAAAGTTGGCCCTGCAAATATGCCAATTCTGTTTCACAAGAATACCTAAAACCACAATGTCAAGTCGTAAAAAGTACTTGTGTAAAGATAGAAGATAAATAAACTGAACAAATAATGGAATTAGCTTAATCAAAATTATCGCATCACGTAATAACGAAGATTTCCCTGAAATCAGCCAGTCAGCAGTATGTTTTAATCTTTATGCTGGAATGATTGATTGTTGTATTAAGCTCACCAGACTATGCAAACAAATACGAAACAGTTCTCTTTTGGTTATCACAATGGACAGGCGGACCGACAATCCCATTTCTCAACACATTACCAAATTAATAAGCGTCTTTAAGGCCCGAGAGGACTGTCAATGTTTATATAATCAACTAGCTGCAAGACCTTGATATAACAAAACCTCGGGGCCGTTCTATTTTCTTGTAATCACTATCTATGATTGCAGGTGATTATGTAACAATTTGACAGATACGGACGTGCGATATGGCATTCTACAGAAACAAAAATCATGCAACGGCTATGTTGCTTATTGACGATGTATTTTTGTTTTACATTTGATTCCTCAAACTGCAGTTATTATCAGTAACACGTCACACCCGGTAGAGTGTTTGTACATATTGACACAGTAGTTGCGTAATAGTTATTGAATAAGCATATAAAAAGATGCGTGTTAGATAGTTCACGAAATCTTTATTTTATTATATTTATCAGGACGCAACAAGTTTAAGTGACCTCTTTTAAATAACATGTTGTGTTGAGTATATATTTCACAAAGATCTTATTCTGGTGTGCTATCTAATATAATGTCAATACAGCCGAAATGTGTGCCACGTTTTCTATTGCTTATATATGGTATATATATATATATATAAAGAAGAAAATAAGCTCTAAAGACCGACTACAAACAAATTTCTTTTCACCCTTTGCAGTGCTCTTCAAGTTAACCAGGTTTCGGTCGTTAGGTTTTCTATATGTAATTATTTTCTATTATATGTAATAAATTTAAAGAAAAACAAACACAATGCATCAAAGTATTACATAAGCAACAAAACTATAGCTTCAAAACTTACAGTAACTAGTTGTTGTAAAAAATGGTAAAAGACACATTTCATCAAAGATCAATTCATTTCAAATCATGGAGCGTATCTTGAGCCAGTTCACAGTGTCAATATCGGCTATGTTAACCCTTCGCAGTACTGCACACATAACACATAGATTCAAGATTGCTGGAAAATGTCTGGGGAAAAGCTCTGTCAATGTCATTAGGGGATTTGGGAGTTGACGTAGACAACGTTGCATATCGTTCAAGAGATGCAACGTGCCATGGCAACCACTCCACAAACTGCCTGGTCAGGAAATCGTTCACGACGTGTGCTAGCGTTGTCATGTTGCAGCGTAACGTAATGTTGTTACACGCATGATATACGTGGGCTTGCAGTCAGCAGCCGCCCAGCTCACCCTTACCTTCCTCAGTGTGAGTAGGTGTTAGGGACATAGTTCCAGTCCATGTCTGAGTTCATGAAAAAGGGATATCATCGCAGCGGTTTGCACCGGTCAGATTTCCATCAATAACCACCAGAGACGTTATGGAAGGCATGTATTGTTATGCCACCCAAGACTATCACACTACATGTACCTCCGCAAACAGGACGACATTCCATGATATTTTTGTCAAGAGACGGTACACTCTTGACTGGTTGTCACT